GGATTTATGTCTCTCCCGCCCTGTTTCTGCAAAAGGGCACAGTCACTGGCACGCTTTATCCGTGCCATCGAGAAAACACATGCAAATAGATTTGTGAAACATTACTTAAGATTGTTTACTTTAACCAAAATGAATTCACATTTAAATAAACGCCTCACCGACATTACAACCTCCAGGTAGGGCCTGGATATCTCCCAGAATTACAATTCCAGACTTGAGCGATCACTTCCCCTGGAGAAAACGGCTGCTTCGCAGGGTGGATTCTATGGAATTGTACCACACTTGAGTTCCCTGCCTTCCCCAGGCTCCACCCCAAATCTTCAGGGATTCCCCAACCCAGAGCAGGTAACCCTACATCTGCAACCTGGAGACGAATGTGGCTCTGTACAGAACTCAATATGGCTCTTTAAAAAATAACGAAAAAGAATTCTAAATTAAAGTATATTGGAGGTGACACATTTAAGTGCTAGAGTAACCAGAACAAAGTTTGAGTCCAGTGGCACCTTTAAGACCAACAAAATTTAATTCTAGGTATAAGCTTTTGTGTGCATGAACATGAACAGATACATTTCATCTGATGAAGTGTACATGGACATGAAAGCTTATACCCAGATTTAAACTTTGGCCCCGGTCACAAGGGCCCGATATCGCGCACGGGGAGGCGTGGCTAATTGCCCCGGTGGAAACTAACGCGCGGCCGCCCGAGCACACATCCCGGTCGAGGTCCCGTGGTTAGGGGGGAGATGTCGACCAGACGGGTATCCTGCAGTGCGGCACAGAATCCGCACCGCGCGATTGCGCTAGCAATCGCTCTTTGTGCACATGCGCTGTTGTGCGCTGTTGCGCAACCTGCGGAGACTTGGGAGACCAAAAAAACCCTTGTGTGTGACGAACAGCGCTGGGCGCCGGATGCCACGTAAGTCCACCGGAAACACGATCAGACGCCCGCCCTTGCCCTGCGGCTTCCGGAAACTAGTACCTCGGAGGTACTAGTTTTTTACTCCGCATCTTCGACGGGAAGCCTCGGGTTAGCCACGGGAGCTCTACGCTTCCCAGATGTTGCGGTGTGATTGCGCCCGGAAAATCCGCCTACCATCCGTATCGTCAGCGTGGCAAATGCTCCGGGTGACCACAGCCATTGTTGGCTTTAGAGGTGCCACTGGACTCAAACTTTGTTCTGTTGCTTCAGACCAACATGGCAACCCCACCTGAGTCTATCTAGAATCACCAGTCTGTGAAGGGACTGGCAGGCAAAATTTGTATAGGGCTCAAAGTCTTCTCAGGATCAGAGAGACCAAGATTCAAATTCCTGCTTTGCCATGGAAGCTCTCTGGGTAACTTAGGACCAGTCATCCTTGGCCTAATCTACCTCACAGGGTCATTGTGAGGATAAGAATGGAGGAGAGGAGAATGATGTAAGCCATTGGGGAGAAAAAAGGGGTTTAAATGAAGTGAAAAAGGAATGCATTCTTAGAGATGCTTTAAAGAAAGGGAAACAACAGAGGTAAAGAATTGTGTGGAGTTCCAATGCAAGCCATGCACAGATTGATACCAGGACACTCAAACAATTGCTCTGGGTACTCCTGTGAATATTTATTACTTATTGTGAGATCTTGTGTGTACCACTTCCTAACAAGCAATCAACAACACTCCATGTGTGGGCTGCAGAAACCAAGTGGGGACCCACAAGAAACTTGAGGGGAGGGTGCATCCCATCCCCCTCACCTTGGCTTCTTTCCCTCTCCTCATCTCTGACCATCTTCCCTCCTCTTCCTTTCTCCCCCCTCCCCTGACCTGTCAATCTTCCTTGTCTCTCTCCCCCCCTCCAACAATCCTCACCCCTCTTGGGGTCCCAGGAAGAAAGAAGGGTGGTGTGGGAATGAATCCCATCCCAACAATGTACATTTCATGAGCATCATGCCTTTCTGCTTTCTTTTGCAATCCATGAAGTAAAGGTTTCAACACTTTCCCAGTTGTGTAGTAAAGTAGAAAAAAAGTTTATTGTTAGGAAATCAGAATCACATGGCATTCAAAACATAAAAGAAAATATTTCAACATTTGTCGGGGGGGTCAACTTTTATATATCCAGTATGGTGCCAGTTTGTTGTAGTTAAGAGCTGCAGACTCTAATCTGGAGAGTTTGATTCCCCACTCCTCCACATGCGGCCAGCTGGGTGACCTTGGGTCAGTTACAAGTTCTCTCAGAGCTGTTCTCTCAAGAGCAGTTCTCTCAGAGCTCTGTCAGCCCCACCTACCTCACAGGGTGTCTGTTGTGGGGAGGGGAAGGAAAAGAGATTGTAAACCACTCTGGGACTCCTTTGGGTAGTAAAAAGTGGGGTATAAAAACCACCTCTTCTTCTGTCCCAGGACAGTATGAAAAAGGACAAGGCTCACACTTGGTCTGTTCTACAACACTGGGGTTCAGGACATCGGAGGCAGCTGCACGGCCACCACAGCTCAAAATGTGCATTATTCAGAGCAAAGGAGCAGGAAACATTTCCTATTGTAGCAACCGGTCAATGCCCCCACAAATTCTAAACTGAATCTCCTGAGTAGTAAAGTCTTACTCATCCCTTAACCTTCACAATAGGCAAAAGGGTGACCATTCCCTTAAGACAACATTTCCAAACCTGTGGGTCACAAAGCCTGAGAAAGTGTTTGCATTCAATTGATTTCTGCATGCTCTGGTGTTGTCATTTTTTAATGGGTCAGATGATACAATCGAGGGCACAGCAATCTAAGAATAACAAATCATGCAATTGCTGCAATAAGTTCAAAAATTACAGAACAATGACAATCAAATGTAGGCTTATTCTGATGTATTATTTCAAATTTCTTCTTTTATTCCATAGGTCAAATAAATGAGAAACTTCTGGCTAACATGGGAGCTATTTCATAGCCATTTGGAAATTGAGATTCCTACTATTGGATTGTTTGAAAAATACCACCACAACACAGAATTTTGATAAAGAACTCGAAACGAACTCTGGAAACTCGAGATGTTTGTCATTTATTTGACCTATGGAATAAAAGAAGAAATTTGAAATAATACATCAGAATAAGCCTACATTTGATTGTCATTGTTCTGTAATTTTTGAACTTATTGTAGCAATTGCATGATTTGTTATTTTTTAATGGGTCACCAAACCAAGTAGGTGTGCGCTTGTGGGTCACCATACCCAAAAAGATTGAGAACCCCTGTCCTAAGAGATTTGAACTAATTGGAGGTAGGGCTTGTGAAAAGCCAATCACAGAAGCTTATGTTAAAAAGTTCACGTGCCAATAAGGAGTAATTCCAATTAAGTATTTTAAAGAGCCAAGAAAATAGTCAACGTAGGAAAGATGGCTACTTCTGATACGAATTAGGAAATCCCTCTAGGATGTGTACAGGATACTCTACCACAAGGGCCCCAACCTTTTTTGAGCTCCAGAATTCTGACACAAGCTGTTGGGCACAATAACAAAATGGCTGCCGACAGAGGTGCAGCCACTCCCAAAATGGCTGCCACAGGAGGCAGAGCGAACAAAAAATGTCAGGGAGCAAGATTATATCTTATATTCTTTTTTGTGTATTTGTGTGTGTGTTTGCATGCCTGGAAGTCTTGGCAACTTCTGGCGACTGCTAGTGGGGTTTGGATGTTTTCAGAGAGGTCGCTTGATAGCCTGCCTCTGCGTCCCAAGCTCTGGTATTCCTTGAAGGTCTCCCTTCCAATTACTTGCCAGGGTTGGCCCAGCTTAAGCTTCCGAGATATGACGAGATCAGGCTTGCCTGAGCTATACATCTTATATTCTAATAGCCACTCATGGCCCCCATCTGTGGATATCTAAATCTGTGGATTGGGGCCATGTGGAGGCTCAAGAGATTTTTCCACACACTTTGGGAACTCCCCGGGTTTGCAGAAAAATCTTAAATGTTTAATTCCCCCCCCATTAGAAAAATTAAAACATTGTCTGTGCATGCGCGGACAACACACTTACTTTTCTTCTGCAGTGGTGATTTTCTTTTACGATTGGCTGCAAGCGGTGCACACCACGAGACACTCTGAGCTCAGCCACAGCTTCAGAGCCCAATGGCAGATACAGGGAGTCCCTCCGAGCTCAGTGCAGTGTCAGCAGATGCTGGAGCAGCTTGGGGCCGGGCCACAGTGGCAGCACACAGCAGGAGCCACTATGGGCTCAGCTACGGCATTGGTGGACACTGGGAGCTGCTCAGAGCCCAGCTACTGCGGCAGCACATGTCGGGAGCCGCTCTGGGCTTGCAGCAGCTCCCAGGCATTGCTGCTGCAGCCAGGCTTCAAGGTGAGCACAGCTCATCAATGGGGGGGGGGGATGGAATTCCCTCCACCATGAGTGTCTCGGACTTCCCCTTCTATAATTCTAATAGTACCTACTCAGCATTTCAGGCAGGGGCTCTGTTTAACAGGATGCCTTTGCAGAGCCATTCAAAGTGCCAACTGGCCCTGCCCACTTTCTAAAAGCACTTGGTGGGCACCTGGAGAGGTGTCAGTGGGTGCCACGACACTCACGGGCACCATGCTGGGGATCCCTGATCAAGGAAGATGTGCAGTGATTCCTTAGGTAAGAAGGGAGAGTGACAGAGAAAGAAATACACTCTGAATCTGAAACGGGGAATGGGACATTTAAACAGACTATTTTAGCAGGTCCATCTAGAAACTCGTGGCTGTTAAGGCAATACCCTGTCTCAAAAAAAGTACAATTTGAATACGTAGGCTTGGCATTCTGATCTCGAGGACAGCCAGAAGTTCAGTAGTGTTTTGAGTTGATGCTGTCGGCACAGGTGGTCATGTGCCTTTCCTGTTTCAGCGTTGCACTGATCTGTGATGAACAGATACCTCTTCAGTCCCAGCAAAACCATCATCACCTTTTAACATCTCCCATCGCAGGGAAAGGAAGCAAAACAGCTGCATGCTTCTCTGCTGGTCTCAGACAGTCTGTCTTTTACATGCAGCTGGCCATTGCATTCTCTTCTTGGGAGGGGCCTAAAATAGATTTCTCTTCAGAAACCCATGGAGCAAATGATGGGGGAAATCAAAGTCCATCTGTAGAATCAAGTATCCCTACAAAGAAAAAAAGAAGTGTGTGATACAGCTGGATTGAGATGGAGTTCTGGGGTGTCTTTGCCTACAGCCAGGGGGCACAGCTAGGGCAGGACAAGAAGAAGAGGAGATTGGATTTATACCCCGCCCTTCACTACCCAAAGGTGTCTCAGAGCTGCTTACAAACTCCTTTCCCTTCCCCTCCCCACAACAGACACCCTGTGAGGTAGGCGGGGCTGAGAGAGCTCTGACGGAAACTGCTCTTTTTCAAGAACAGCTCTTATCAGAACTACAGCTTGCCCAAGGTCATTCAGCAGGTGCAAGTGGAGGAGTGGGGAATCAAACCCGGTTCTCCTAGATTAGAGTCCACGCACTTAACCACTACACCAAACTGACAACTGGTACCTATGCATAGGGTTCAGCTGTTTGAGTACAGGTTGAGGAAGGAAAGTCGCTAGAAGATAAAGTACAAGACTAAGCACAACATGGGAACTCAAGAGAAACAGATCTAGGGCTGCCAAATGCCCCGGGAGGGCGGAATTCCCCCCGCTTTCGAGCCCCGATTTCCGCTCCCACGGAATCGGGGCCCGGGGGAAACCCCACCCCCTGGAGCCCCCCGCTCCCGGCCAAAAAACATTTGGCAACCCTAAACAGATCTCAGGTGGCTTCTGCCAGCAACATCAGATTTGGGAGAACTGGTTGCTTCAGATCTGCCATTACCAGACTGCTGTCTTCTGTACACCGCTATAAAATTGGTTCAGGGTGTTGGATGACCCAGGCTAGCCCAATCTTGTCAGATCTGGGAAGCTAAGCAGGGTTAGCCCAGGTTAGTACTTAGATGGGAGACCACCAAGGAAGCCCAGGGTTGCTATGCAGAGGCAGGCAATAGAAAACCACCTCTGTTCGTCTCTCGCCTTGAAAACCCTAGGGGGTCGCCATAAATTGGCTGTGGCTTTTGTTTTAATTAGTTTTTATTGTAAACAACAGAATTGTTTATGACAATTTCCAACAATACATATCGAGATACTAATAACAGCAACAACAAGAAACAAACATTCAAACAAATAAAGAAAAAGGTAACGTACAACTGGGATATTGGAAAGTGAGAAAGTACTGGGCAATCCAACTGTAGTTCTGAGAGCATTTAACAAACATCATAAACTCAGCTAGTAAGTTACAACTGAATTAAATCTATAAGGTAAATATGACTTGGAACTTTGTCAATCGATAGCGTATAAGTAAGAAAAGGAAGCCAAATTGCAATAAAGTTTGGACTAAGATCTTGTTTGACAATCTGTTGGTTGTGCTAAGATATCTTTTCCATTACGTAGAAACACCAAACCTTATCCAGCCATAAAGAAACTGACGGGGATGATTCATTATTCCATCTAGAGGCTCTGGCAGCTGCTAGTAAACATTCTATTAGATTTTTGGTTGACTTGGGAATACTAATATTGCTTTCAGGCCATAATGATAATAGCAGAAGCTCTGGTTTAATTGAAAGAGAAGTTCCTGTAATATTAAAGATATATTCTACAACTGAGTTCCAAAACGGCGTGATGTGTTTGCAGGCCCACTGACAATGAAAAAAGGAGCTGGTTCATCACAATATTTCCAAGCTGGCTGTGACTTGACAGCATTTTCCATCAACCATTCACCGTTCTCAAAAATCTTCAGTGCCCTGTCCTCCAAAGAAATCTAACCCTTGAGAAAGCTGCCCTGAACTGTCCATGGTTCAGAGGAACAATACAGTTATTCATACTCAAGCACTGTCATGGAGTGAGGGATGTAAAAGCTCAAATAAATAAACGTGTACTTGCATTTCTGGTTATTATCTCAGGATCTACGATGTCTACTAGGTCAAGTCCTTTGCTGTTCATCAAGGATGTTAGAGCCGGCTCAATTCCTATGGAGTGGAATTAAAACAGACTCACGTGAAATCACAATACACATGGTTAAGGATGGGCACAAACCAGCTCATGAACTAAAGTTTGTTTTTCTTAATCCTTGGATTTTCCACTTGGGGTTTTCCCAGATGGATTGGGACAGCATTCTGAGTTACTCTCAGGATCACACTGATAAACCTCTAGAGCAAGGGTGTTGAACTCATTTGTTCTGAGGGCCGGATCTGACATAAATGAGACCTTGTTGGGCCGGGCCATGTGTGTCATAAAATGTAATGCCCGGTAGCGGAGATATAAATTTTATAAAGGGCACAAACACAAAGGGTTTTTTAAACTTAAAATAAAAACATGCTTAAAACATTAGCACTTTTGCAATATTTTGTTTATTTAACAGTGTCTGATAACTGACACCTCTTGTTCTGAATTATGACATCAAAATGTCTGTGCTGTTGCAATCTTGAGTATGCTGTTCAGGTGTGTATCTCTAAGCTGCAAACCTACAATGACACAGCAGCAGCAGAACTGGAAGAAAAAGAAGACAGCCAGTTCTAGTGCAGGCCTGATAGAAGCCCTCCGGGGGCCTGATCTCGCCCCCGGGCCACATGTTTGACACCCCTGCTCTAGAGAGACCTATTTTTTTATTCCCACTCTTCACACAATAAGGGGCTCTTAAATATAAAATTATGTTTTTATAGATTCCCCCCGATGAAGCCTACAAAACTTCAAAGCAACAGCTTAGAGGGCATGTGGAGGAGCATCCAGGGGAGATCCCCTACAACTTTGATGTCTCTAGCTTGCACAGGATCCATTCTGTACACTTCTGAGCCTCCTGAACCTGCGCCTGTCATTTTGACAGGTACAGATTCAGAAGGTTCAGGAATGCATAGAATGGATCCTGTGCAAGCTAGAGACACCAAGCTCACAGGGGATCTCCAGCTGACTCTCCTCTATCTGCTCTCTAAGTTTGGTGAGAATTTTACAGGGTCTGAGTTATAGCCTCACAAAGAAGGTGCCCCTAGGAAAGTGCTTTCTGGGGAAATGACAGGTGGTCACCAATCCTCAGTTGGGTGTAATGGTTAAGAGCAGTGGACTCTAATCTGGAGAACCATATTTGATTCCCCACCCCTCCACATGCAGCCAGCTGGGTGACCTTGGGTCAGTCACAGTTCTCTCAGAGCTGTTCTCTCAAGAGCAGTTCTGTCAGAGCTCTCTCAGCCCCACCTACCTCACAAGGTGTCTGTTGTGGGGAGAGGAAGGTAAGGAGATAGTAAGCTGCTCTGAAACTTCGAGTGAATGGCAGGGTAGAACTCCCAATTCTTCTTCTTCTTCTTCCCAAACTTGGCTGGCAGTTAGGGGAGAGTCAGACTGAGATCCCCTGCAAGTTTGGTGTCTCTAGCACATCATGGGGCCATTCTACTGCCTCCCGAGCCTCACAAATTGAATATTTTGTAGGCGGCTAAAGGTTTGCGAGGATTAATGATTTTCAATTGGGGCATGCCATGAACCATGGCCCATTCCTACTCATGATTTATGGTAATGTTTTTGAAATCTAAGCTTCAACTTCCAACATTATGGGCCACCAACAGATTTTTAAGGATTCCATTTTACAGCAGCTGAAGTTCAAAATATTTGCAAAGATGCCAATTTGGCCATGGTTGGGAGAAGGTCCAGCCTTCCTCTTGGCCATGGTCAAGCTTCCTCTATCCACAACTCTGCTAGCTGCACAACTGCAACCAGAACTACAACCAATCACAGTTGATAACGCTGACCTAGATGGGCCACCCCATATAAGGCATCTTGTATGTTCATCTCTCCTTTGGTGCAAAGAGAAATCTGAAAGTCCAAAGGTGCTGGCTGAATCTTAGGCAAGGCGAAGAATTCCCCACTTGCCGTTTTCACCCTTCTTTCTTGCTTCCCTAATCACTCAATTATCTGGCTAGCACTCAAGAGTTCTCCACAAGGTCTGACAACACGAATCTCTCCTGCATCCCACAACAGTTGGGTGTCTATATGGATGTGTTTGCCATAAGTTCCTTCATCTTCTACTTGTTTTGCCCTATTGCCACTCAGGACTCAGATTCACTCCATTGAACAAGATAAAGAAAGCTCACTTGAAATCACTTCTGGGATCCCAGCAACAGTGATGGTTTTCTCCAAGAAGTGCCTTAGAGTTTCATCGTTCTGAAATTAAAATTTTAAATAGCATAATTAACTGCAGAAGCTCTCTGCTGATTACCAGTATTTTGTATTAGGGATGGGCACAAACCACAAAAATGCAGTTCAGTTTGCACCAGATCACACCTGCAAGATTGATGGGTATGTGTTGGATGTGAGATATACGTGAACTTTTGCAGGCCCCTTTGGTTGAGATATTCAGTTATACAGACACTCCCTACGGATCAGACAACTAGTTCACCTTCACTAGGCTATACAGCCATGGCACAAGGAGGCCCAGGACTTTTCAGCAGAGGCAAAGTTAGCAACATTCATTGAATTCAGTGAATTTCTGAAATTTGACACTAGACAGAAATATTCAAAATTCACCTGATTTGATTGGCTAAAGGAAGAAAGGAATATGAAATCTGCTCAAGTTCCCTGGAAGCCTCAATTACTACGAAATTTTTAGTGCTGCTGAATGACCAGCTGCCGTCCTGACAAATTTTATTATAAAGATTTCTCTTTTGCCTTTTGAACAAACATATCCAAGAGGACTTTCAATCTTTTAAAAGAATCGATGCAAGGGTAGTCTCTTTGGATGCCCTGCACTGATGCTATCAGATGTTCCCCAGTGATCAGCACATCTAAAAGAATGTGTTGTTTTTAGGCTGACTAAATGTGTTGTATTGATGGCTGACTATTTTGATGCCTTATTTACATTAATGATTTTTATGCTGTTTTTATTATTTTTTTACATTTTACTTTGGGAGCGGGCCTCTGAGATGGCATCACCTCAGACCTAGGTTTCCTGTCTCATCACCAATGCTGATTTCTCCATGCCCATTACCCCTCTGCCTATCTCCCCTAAATCCAATCACACCTGCTATTGTCATTCACCTGCTACTGTCATTTGCCTGCTAATGTCATTTGGCATCTGAAATCACTCCACTTTCCAATAAATAGGACAGGTGGACTCCCAGTCTAGCTGTATCTGAAGAAGTGAGCAGTGACTCACAAAAGCTCATACCCTGACACAAATTTTGTTAGTTTTTAAGGTGCTACTGGACTCTTGCTCTTTTCTACTGCTACAGACAGACTAACACGGCTACCCATCTTGATTTATCTGAGATGGCATATTATGTTTCCTAAAATAAATAAATATGTCGGTCAACCAAAATCGCTGCTGCATTTCATAACGTCTACTAGCAGTCCACAACTGTAGTTTTAAATTTTGGTTTTTATGTTTTTATATTTTATCTATGTTGTAAGTCACCTTGAGCTCTGTAAGAAAGAAAGAGGTCCATAAAGAGTTCTAAATCAATACATTCCATTTCCCTTGCAAAATCAGCTTTGGTTCTGCTTTTCAGGTTCAAGTCAGGAATGCTGGACACTTACCACTGCTATATCCAAGGAGCACCTCATTGTTTTAGGCTCTATCCTGTAAGGAAATAGAAAAACAACAGGGGCCCTGTTCACACGGAGGATTTGCCACGGAAGAGCGTGCATGGCAGATTATCCGGGCGCGATCACACTGCAACATCTGGGAAGTGGAGCGCGCCCGTGGCAAACCCGTGGTGTACCGCCGAAAATGCGTGATTAAAAACTACCTGCTCAAAGGTACTAGCAACTGGTTTGCCACGGGCTGCCTCCGGAGTCCCTCGGTGTGATCGCGCCAGCTGCGGCTTTTCCCTTGGCCCCTTGTTGATGCGCAGGCACGGAGGGAAGGAACCATGGCATGCTGCCGACGTGTGGGACACGTTCTGGTGGCTCTAATTGCGGCAGCGCAAATAGCCCTGCCTCCCCCCCCCGCGTTATCCAACCCGTGTGACCGGGGCCAGGATTAGGAAGGGAAGAACCACAAAAGCAACCCTCTCCTAAACCCTTTGCATGATGATGAGCATGCCAGCACCCTCCCAAATGGAACAGCAGTACATACACAGCCTCAGAGAAATGCAAAACCAGCCTCTTTTGCACATATGAAGCTTGGATTGTAACCGTGACATCCTGTGGAAGGAAAGAGAGCCATAAGTGAAGGATACATGAGTGTATTAGTCCTGATTTCTTGCATGCGTTTATCAGCTTCAACAGGGATCAAATGAGCAAAAAGCACTGGCTTCTTCAGTGGCGGAAATACATTTTGGGGACCCTGAAGCTTGAACTGTTATGGGGCCCCCTTCTCAATCAGCCACGATAGGGCAACATCCAACCAGGTCCAAAGGGCCTTGCTGCCCTTGCAAAGGACCTCGAGGCCCAAAGGGTGGAGAACAGGGTGGTGGGGTGGAGCCCTTGAAAATGGGCCGTACAGTGAGCCCCTTCCTTCTCACAGGCAACGAGGCCTGGTTAACCGCTGTTATCGTCTTCAATGGCATTATTCTATGGCAGATCATCACGGCTGGGGGTTTGGGTGCTGCAAGCCCCCAAGAAAATGTTGAAATCTGACAGATTACAGGGACATTTTGAGGCTATATGAAACGGGTATTAGAGGAGCATATTCTAAGGTCAATATGAAGTACTCCAACCCATTGGCTTATGATTCTGTCACTAACTAAAATAGCCTTACTTTAATAACACTTAAAAAAAACTCCATCATTTTTTTTGAAAAATCCACTCCAGGATTAGGGGCCCTGAAGCTTAAACTTCATTAGTTTCATAGTGGATCCACCCCTGGGCTTCTTTGCGATCAGGAAATGGGTTACCCCATCTCCAAGGAGGTGACAAATTAACTCTCCTCCCCTTAGGGGTTTTCAAGGCTAGAGACATTCAGAGGTGGTTGCCATTGCCTGCCTCTATGTCATGACCCTGGTATTCCTTGGATGTTCCCCATCCAGTACTGGCCAGGGCCGACCCTACTTAGCTTCTGAGAACCGAAGAAATCGGGCAAGACTGGGATATCCAGATCAGAGCAATAAATTAACTAACCTTTTCAAAATATATAACCAGTGGAGTTTCTTCCCCACGTGAAGAAACACTGAGCTCCACAGCGATGGATGACTTCATGACGGTCCCTTTGGGCTGGAGAATAATTTGGGGAGGACTGAGACTCCACACTTTAGCCAGGGAGTCATTGTAGGAGGCACCTTGGAAGATCTGCGCAGCAAAGGAAGAGAACATTGGATACCCACTGCTGCCACCAGAAAAACTATAAAGAAGGGTCTGGGTGAGCGGCGTGTTTCGCCACTCAGTGTGAACACAAAAGGGCATTTTTAGGGGAGAACTGGCAGATGAAATGGAGGAGCTTTAACCTTCCTTTGCTTAACGAGCTCTTCCCTGCAAATATATGCTCCCTCGCCCCACAGCCAAACTTGAAGTTTAGGAGTTCAGAGGAAATCTGGATGGGAAGACAGGTGTATAGGTGTGTATGGAGGGTATTAGTTGGTGGTGAGGAAAGGGTTGATAACCTCCCCACACTCTAAATCTCCTCCACAGATATTCCCCTCACCACACATTAGTCTTCTGATGGCCCAAACACGGAGTTGCTTCATTATATGAAATTCCAGCCCTGCAGCCTTTACTCTTTTGCTTCCTGCATTTAAAAGCATGCATTAGAAGACAAGTCAAGTATGCACAAGCAGGCAACCTGTGAATTAGGTGCTGAGCCTACTCAATTAGGGTTGCCAGGAACTCCCAGACACTTTTTTTTGGGGGGGGGCTGGCACATGCAGAGAGGAAGTAGCCACAGAGACTGAGGCGATTCCTAGAGCATCACAGACACAATGACTTAAAGTACCATCCCCACTTTGATGACATCACCCTCCACCCCCATTTTCTCCCACCGTTCAATTGCCCAAGAGTGGGCAGGTGTGGGGAGAGGCAACTGGCAGCCCCAGTCTATGTAACTTCCAAAGCACAGAAATCAGCTATATATAGATATATATTCATAGTTTCTTTGTCCCAAACCTATTCTAGTCAGCCGGGATACTGAAAACAGAAAATAACCCGTACACCCATGCTACCAATTTATATTAGGCACACATAATTTATTAGTTCTTATAATAATTTATCACACACTTACATGACTTTCCAATTGGGTTAACATTGTCAACCCATGCTTCAGTTTTTCAGGGAGCTATTAAGAAATGTTGTATGTAATATTTGGTTTTCTCACATATAAATGAATAGACTTGTACTGAATTCCAGGATAATTTGCTCACTGTATAATCATGCAGCCAGCTTTCTTTCCTGGCAACATTGCTGGATCATCCAGCTGGCATCTATTATTGCTGGTATGCAGGTGTGGTGCAAAGGTCTGTTTCAGATGCTGGATTTCTGCTTATCACACAGCTCTTACAGGTAATGAAACCCTGCTCAAAAAGGATGGGGGCTTTCACACATGCTGAATAAATAATGTATATAAATGTAACAACGGCATAATCGACGTTGGGGCTATTTTATCTTAAGGAAAACTACGTTTAAAATATCTATGCATTACACTGGCTGCCGATAGCATACCAGATCCGTTTCAAGGTGCTGGTTCTTACCTTTAAAGCCCTTTACGGTCAGGGACCTACATACCTGAGGGACCACCTTTCCCCACATGCTCCCCAGAGAGCACTGCAGTCAGGGGCCCAGAATCGTCTGGCCCTCCCGAGTCTTAAGGAGGCCAGGCTGGTGACAACCAGGGCACGGGCTTTCTCAGTGGCGGCTCCATCCTGGTGGAATGAGTCCCAGAGGAGATCAGGGCCCTGCGGGACCTACTACAGTTCCGCAGGGCCTGTAAAATGGAGCTCTTCTATCAGGCTTTTGGAGCCACCGCCACCTCTAACAACTAGGATGAGAAGCCCTGCTGCCCTGGAACCTATACTAACAACTGCACCAGCTGCTGGAGGGACACCTGAAAGACACCTATAGAAGATCTGTGCCAGCCAGGGGAAGAGAGGGTTGATGGTAGCCATCACGAACTTTATAATAGCAAAACTAGCACTTATTATGGAATTGCAATCTTTTACATACTGGTTTAAATGTTTTATTGTATTATTTAAATGTTTTTGTGGATTTTATGTAAGCCGCCCTGAGCCGCCCTTGGGCTGGGAGGGCGGGGTTATAAATTTGAATAAATAAATAAATGCCCTAAAAAAAAGTTGTTTGCACTTTTGTACGCAAGGAACAACATAAGACTTAGACTTCCTTCTCTTCATGCAGAACGTGGAGAGTCGGCTTCGGTGTGCAGTGAGTGTGTGCCGAAATTGGATCTGGGAGGCCCATGTCTGAATCCCCACTGAATCTCCAGGGTTGCCAACTCTGGGTTGGGAAATTCCTGCAGATCTAGGAGTAGAGCCTGGGGAGGGCGGAGTTTGGTTAGGGGAAGGACCACAGTGAGGTCTTTGGACCATGGAGTTCACCCTCCGAAGCAGCCATTTTCTCCAGGGGGACTGATCAATGTAGTCTGGAGCCCAGTTGTAATTAAGGGAGGTCTCCAGGTCTCTCTCTGCAGACTGACAACCCTACCTACACCAAGGGAGCCAACGACATGCCAGGTGGCACTCCCTAGGCCCGGCAAAGTTCCCTGAATCTAATGCCTACTGTTCTGAGCAACCAGGAGATGCTATTCTTGGTGCTTCTTATTGGCAACAAGCCATCTTCTCCCCATGTCACCTTTGCCTTTGCATCGTTTCCCTCTCGGCTGAAGAACAGTCAAGCAAGGTGCCTGCAGGCCTTACCTTTAATTCTTCCCCCGTGATGGTTAACATCAGACGGTCATCTAGGAAGGCTGCGAAGACCAGAGAGCTGAGGACATGCTCCGAAAACCAGCAGCAGAGCATTCTGGATTCGGACAGTAGAGACGGTACAAATTCAGAGTCGTGGAAGCTGTCCGAGTAGTTCTTGTAGAGGAGGAGGCCCTTCCAAAAGAAGAGAATGCATTGTACTCCGTTACCAGAAACCAGGATTTTGCCTACATGGCCACAGTAACAGAGATCTGCTTCATTGACTATATTCATCCTGTAGAGAGGTCGTCTCTGTACAGGGAAAGGTTCCCAAGCCATGCACACCACACAGCCATTTGTCACCTTTGGAAATCCAGTTACAGGGCTGGAATCTCATTGGTTAAGAGGGAGACTAGAGACATGGTGGGTATTGTTGCTATGGAGTTTCTACCTGGTTCAGTTTGTCCCATGCATAGCCTTGCCTCCCATGCTGAACCTTGTTTTGATTTTTCTGAGTATCAGAGGAGACTCCTGCCTCCCACTTTGGAGAGAAGCCATGGCTCAGAAAGCCCCAGGTTCATCGTGCCTTACGTGTGTACGTGCTGTCAAGTCTCAAACAACTTATGGAGACCCCAGCAAGGGGCTTTCAAGGCAAGTGAGAAGCAGAGCTGGTTTGCCACTGCCTTCCTCTACACAGTCTTTCTTGGTTGTTCCCCCATCCGAGTACCAATCCTGCATAGATCAGGCTATACCACACCACTATCATGCATCACCTCACCGTGCCTTATGCTTCGCAAAACCCTCTGCCGGGATGCACCTTAAGGAAATACTTATGCATTCACAGCCCACCCTGAACTGCAGAGCCCTTTCTCATCGGTGGCAGCCAGATCAATTGGCCCTTTGCTGGTGTGAAAATTACAATCACAAGTCATGTCGGTTTTGGTATTGCAGCCACCCTTCCTGGTGGAGACAAACCAGAATGAGATCCCTGTTGCTTCTGCTGAAATGGCTGCAAAGGGCACTATCAGCAGATCATAAACCCTTTGTGCCCTGGGCGCAGCAGCGATGGTTCCCAGCAATGCCCTTGATTGAACCGCCCAGGTTCACAGCATGCACCACAAATCACAATCAGTCCCAGTCACCATACTGTGCTCTTCTTTCCCCCTTCTGCTGCTGGGAGCAAGGGCCACCCCCATCCGCAGGCAGAGATTGTGGTTTTCCCAAATCAAACGGGAAACCAGGGAGGACCTTATGACTCTAGCACTGGAGTCCACCAACACTTTTCCTGATGCCTGCCAAGCACTGCTCCCTCTAAGCTGTGGAGTCTTGTGAGCAAACATTCTACTTTGTGAGCTCCTGGCATTAAAGTTGTGAGTGAGCGATTTGGCTGCTGCATAAATGTGTTTGCTCTGGAGCCATCCTTCCTGAGATAAGACAAAAAATCTGTGAGCCGGAGGCTAAAAAACTGTGAGCTAGCTCACACTAACTCAGCTTAGAGGGAACACTATTGCCAAGTTGTTTTAGAAAGTGGGCAGGGCAAGGTGTGGCTTTTGCCCAGCAAGGCTTCTTACTGACCACTGGAGATTTTGTTTGCTGTGTATATTTTTTTTTAAAATGTTACTTTAGCAGCAACTGCCACCAAGCGCAAGGATCTTCACTGTGTGACTGAAGGTAAGCGATGATAGCCATTGTATGGCCGGCTCCGCCCACTTGTGCAGCCATTTTATGGGAGCCATTTTGTGGCTGCGCCTACCATGCTGTGTCAGAATTCTAAAGGTTTCCAAAGGTTTGAAAACTTTAGGGACTCCTCCTCTAGCATTTCTGCCACTGTGCTCCCTCCCCAAACCCCTCCTGAACCTCAGAGCTTTTTTCAACAGTGGTAGCCCTGGCCTGGATGGCCCAGGCTTGCCTGATCTCCCCAGACCTTGGAAGCTAAGTGTGGTCAGCCCTGGTTAGTACTTGGATGGGAGACCAGTCCAGGGTTGTTATTCAGGAGAAGGCAATGGGCAAGCTGCCTCTGTTAATCTCTTGCCTTGAGGGGAGTTGCCATAAACTGATAGCACTTCCCACCACCAGCCAAGTCAGTAGGTGTGGACACCAGCACCCCCTCTTAAGGAACTACATATCCCACAGTTTTTCGCTTTGGAAACAATGTGCAGCGGAAGGTTTTTTGGTGCGCCACCCACTTAAGCAGAACCCCTATGCCCCTGCTTCACGCTGCAACAGGAGATTTACCTTCCACATGGATGGTGCTTTACCTTATGATGTGTTTCAATGTAATTTGCTTTTATTACTGGAAACATTGCCAGGGAAATGTCCACTCCTATATCGCCATCTTTGAGGAAATTTTCTGCCAGGAAATGTTTTCAAAAATTGTGTTTACTAATCAGCTCAACAAGGTCATCTAAAACTACAGTACAGAAAGCCTTCTCCTTCCACAGAAGGATATCTGGCAATTATTAATGGGAGGCATGCCATGGATTTTTAAACGTAAACATTTCCCTTGCTCGAAAGCCAGTAGAATCTGACTCTAGGGCACAGTGCTCAACTCCGTTTTCCAAGCCGAAGAGCCAACGCTGTCCAAAGACGTTCCCATGGTCATGTGGCCAGCATGACTAGACGCCGAGGTGCATGGAATGCTGTTACCTTCCCACCGAAGCAGTACCTGTTTATCTACTTGCAATTCCTTGTTTTCGAACTGCTAGGTTGCTAGCTCAGTCCGCCACACAGCACTAGGGTCTCGAACTGCCGAGCTACAGACCTTCCAGTCTGCAGCTCAGCATCTTAACCTCGGAGTCACCACGGCTTTTAGGAACCTCTAAACTCAAGTCCAGTAGCACCTTAGAGACCAACGAGATGGGGGGTTGAGGCAGAGGTCATTTCGGGGGGATCGTGGGGGATCGCAGTTCCCCCGGGTGAGGTACGGGGGGCGGGGGACATGATGAAGCCCCGCCCCCTGCTTCCGGCCGCCCCGCTTCCGGCCCTCATTCAGCCAGGAGGAGGCAGGAGAAGAGGGAGGGTAAGTTGCTTCCTCCCTGCCTCTCCCTACCCCTGCCTGCTTGGGGCCAGGGAGGGCCTTCGCGGGGCTTCCT